CTCACTTGGTAGCCCAGGCTGGCCTCGAACTCACAGAGATCCGCCTGCCTCTGCCTCCCGAGTGCTGGGATTAAAGGCGTGCGCCACCACCGCCCGGCTGTGTTCTTTTACTCAGCCTTTTTTTTTACCCAGTATTCCTTTTTCTCCTTGTCCCGCCTACATTATCCTTTTTGTGTGGTTATTGGCCAATCAGCATTTTATTTATCAATCAATCATAGTAACATATATTTATAGCATACAGTACACAGTACACCCCCCAAAAAAAGGATGGAATATATGAGAGTCTTTAAAAGCCTCTGTGCCTGTCGAATTGGCTACCCTCCTCCAAAGTAACTAATAGCCTTATTTTGTGTTTACTGTTTTTTGTTTTCATTTATTACTTTTTGTTTAGTATTGTCCCTATAGCAGTTGGTATTTGTGTTTTGAAAAAGAAAGTAGCAGTCACAGACCTAGCTATTGTAACGGCAGGGCAGAATGTTCCTTTTAGATGAAGGCTCTCAGAAAGAGAGGAGCAGAGTGGTCTGTGGTGACTCTGAAAGAAAACTTTGGCATCTCTAAAATCTGTGAGAACCCTTCTGGACTTGTCAGTAGGCATGGGAACACGAGCTCCACACAGGAGACCAGCTAGCAGAAGTAGGGCTCGCTAGCAGGTAAGAACATTGTCAGAGGAGATGCATTGCTGGGTAGAGTTTGCTTCTCAGTTCACCAGAGCCCACCATAGGTGTATGAATAGGATACAGCGCACTATTCCCACCTCCGTGTCTGTGGGGGAGAGAGAGAGGGAGACAGACACCTTGCTAGTGTTTGTATCAGGAAATGGGTGGCAGAGGGGCAAATGGAAACGTCGTCATTGCATAGTCCAAACAGACAGTACACTTGATGCCCTTGAGATTTGGGTCAGGTGGAGTGGGCAGTGTGTTCTCAGGTCAGCAAAATATACCAGCAGTGGAGATTTTTTTAATTAAAAAAAATTTTTTTTGGTACAGGGTTTCTCCGTGTAGCCCTGGCTGTCCTGGAACTGGCTCTGTACATCAGGCTGGCCTTGAACTTCAGGTGTTTACCATCACCAACTGGCAGTGGATCTTGATGATAAGAGCTTTCAGCCTGTTCAACATTGGCTATAGTCTGGATGAATTACCCCATGTGCTTGGTGCCCAACTTGCAGGCTCTTTTTATGTCCTATTATTTTTCCTGGTTGCCGCTCTCTCCCCCTTGTTCTCTGTCCCATTATGCTTTACATACTCTATCTTTTGGTAGAGCACAGCTTTGGAAAGTTCAAAGAAGGCAAAAATTAATATTTTTATTCTGAAAATGATTTTATCTCCTTTCCCACAGATACGTAGGCAGAGGATTAGAAGTAATTTTTGCAAATGTCTTGTAAGACAGTTGCTGTGAGGCACCCTGAAGCCACAGAATTGGGACTTTATTGTTGTAGTTTGCTTTCTGTTGCTGTGACAAGAATACTGACAGAAACTAGCCTGGGGTGAGGCTGGTACTGTGTCCTGCAGGTTGTGTCCCACCGTCTAGAGAAGCAAGGACTGAAGTAGAAGCCGTGAGGAGTGCTGCTTATTGCCTTCCTATGGCCTGCTCACTCAAGACCACCTGCTTAGGGGTGGCACCTCCCACTTCTTAATCAAGAAAAGCCCACAGGCTTACTTACAGGCTCTGATCGAGGCAGCCCTTCAGTTACGGTTCCTTCTTCCCAGATGACTCAAGCTTATATCACGTTGACAAACAACAACAGAACACTAGCCAGTCAGCACTTTTGGGAGAACAGGAAAAGGAATAAAAGTAGACATTCCTGAAGCTGTGAATTATCACTTCAGTTTTGGTTTGTTATTTGCTATTTTATATATGCTAAGTCATATTCCTTTTAAAAACACTTTTGATGGGAAAAAAAATTTGTCATACGTCAAAGCAGATTCCTAGGCATTCATTGCCTAACTTCACAAATTATAACCCTTTAAAACTGTCCTTTATGCCGGGCGGTGGTGGCGCACGCCTTTAATCCCAGCACTCGGGAGGCAGAGCCAGGCGGATCTCTGTGAGTTCGAGGCCAGCCTGGGCTACCAAGTG